TATTGTTATTGTTTTCATTGAAACTTTGAATTTATGAAGAAAAAACAGAAGCTGTATACATCTGTGAGTATATAGGGTTGACGTGGCTATGTTTAACGCCGAGCACTATTTTTTAATTGATTCATGTTTTCGTTAGTTTTTAACTAATCTTTTTGAAATTTTGCAAAAAACTTCCTTGAATGCTAATAAACAAATGCCTCACTAAAAGTTTTCTGAATTATAAAATTCCCCGCAGACTTTTTATCAGTAAAGTTGAGAAAGTAGAATTTCTAAACTCTCTTAATTAAAAAAGCAAAATTGTTAAACAATTGATGATAATAATTACCAAAGATATGATGATTTATGTTTTAAAATTTAATTAATTTAATAAGTTTAAAATTTTCAGTTTTTGGTCATTATCTTCAAAAATATTTGTTATACAAAAAGATTTTAAAGGAAAAAAGATGCGCCATACAATTTCCTGAAGGAATGTATGATTCAAAAATTAAAATCTTGAATTTCAATTTTTAGACCATTTTGTTATGTTTGACTGTCTTGTGAGCATACAGTCGAGCGGATTATTCGATGCAGACGCTCAATTCGTTATTATACAATAATTTATAAATAATTTTATAAATGTTATATTAATATTATTAACATAGATTAAATTTCAAAAAGTTTCAAATTGAAGTTGTAGAAAAGTTGAATTTTAATTAAAAAATATGAATATATAAATATAAATATTTTTTACCACCCTAAACAGTTTTTAAAAAAATTTTTAAATAAATTATTTATATACCATTTCTAAATATTGCTAAATGTTAAATGCAATTTTATACATTCCAAATAAACATTTTGAATATAAGATGGCAATATCAGGGCTCGAACCAGTGAAAGTATTTAAAAATACGGACTTTACGGACCAAAAATTAAAAATTACGGACCATTTACGGACCAATTACTGACAAAAATATAACTAGTCCGAGTCAAATAAGAGAACATTTTCAAGAATTTTTAATTAAAATTCTTCTTAAAATCGATTATTTTTAATAATTTTCGAAAAAGTTCTTTGACGATTTTCAAATTCATTTCTTTACAATATTCAATTTCACGAAATTTCAATTATTCGTAAATTCTTCAATTAAATATAAATATTGGAAAATATAATATAATATATATATTATTATATTAATTATTTATATTATTTATATTAATTATTATATTAATATATAATATAATATTTATATATAATATATATAAATATAAAGAATTATATCAACAAATTTTTTAATAATTGAATTCTGTTGATGAATGTTAATAAAATTTTTATGAATAAAATTATATTAAAAATAATTGAAATTCTGCCATAAATTTTATTATTTATGAAAATAATTGAATTATGGCTAAGAAATTTATATAAAATTTGTAAATAATTGAATTTCTGTGAAATTTTTATTATTTTCTGCAAATAATTAAAGGTTTGTGTAGAATTTTATTAAATTTTTTTTTAAAGAATTAAATTCTTTTGAAAAATTTTATTAGAATAGTAGATACCTATTAAAAATCATTGAATTGAGGAAAATTTTTGAAAATAATTGAATTTCTACAATCATTTATAATTTCTCTAAAATTATCCAAATTATATCGTACAATTTACGGACTTTACGGGCATTTTTCAATCAAATTACGGACTTTACGGACTTTTTTTCCAAAAAACAGACTTTTACGGACTTCAAGCAAAGTTACGGACTTTTACGGGATTTACGGACCTAGTTCGAGCCCTGCAATATAGTTTAAAAAATAATTTTTTGATGCTTGTGCTTCGAACCAGAAGTATATAGTAACTTTAAAAAAGTTTAGTTTCAAAAACTTCGTTATTCATATTTTTTAATTAAAATTCAACTTTTCTACAACTTCAATTTGAAACTTTTTGAAATTTAATCTATGTTAATAATATTAATATAACATTTATAAAATTATTTATAAATTATTGTATAATAACGAATTGAGCGTCTGCATCGAATAATCCGCTCGACTGTATGCTCACAAGACAGTCAAACATAACAAAATGGTCTAAAAATTGAAATTCAAGATTTTAATTTTTGAATCATACATTCCTTCAGGAAATTGTATGGCGCATCTTTTTTCCTTTAAAATCTTTTTGTATAACAATTATTTTTGAAGATAATGACCAAAAACTAAAAATTTTGAACTTATTGAATTAATTAAATTTTAAAACATAAATCATCATATCTTTGGTAATTATTATCATCAATTGTTTAACAATTTTGCTTTTTTAATTAAGAAAGTTTAGAAATTCTACTTTCTCAACTTTACTGATAAAAAGTCTGCGGGGAATTTTATAATTCAGAAAACTTTTAGTGAGGCATTTGTTTATTAGCATTCAAGGAAGTGTTTTGCAAAATTTCAAAAAGATTAGTTAAAAACTAACGAAAACATGAATCAATTAAAAAATAGTGCTCGGCGTTAAACATAGCCACGTCAACCCTATATACTCACAGATGTATACAGCTTCTGTTTTTTCTTCATAAATTCAAAGTTTCAATGAAAACAATAACAATATTGAACCATCTATTAATTTAACAATTATTTAATAATTAAATTATATTTGTTTTTACATTAATTTGATTATTTTTTAAATATTACAATAATAAAACTCATTAAATTATTAATTATTAATGTAAAAACAAATATAATTTAATTATTAAATAATTGTTAAATTAATAGATGGTTCAATTGTTATTGTTTTTATTGAAACTTTGAATTTATGAAGAAAAAACAGAAGCTGTATACATCTGTGAGTATATAGGGTTGACGTGGTTATGTTTAACGCCGAGCACATTTTTTAATTCATTCATGTTTTCGTTAGTTTTTAACTAATCTTTTTGAAATTTTGCAAAAAACTTCCTTGAATGCTAATAAACAAATGCCTCACTGAAAGTTTTCTGAATTATAAAATTCCCCGCAGACTTTTTATCAGCAAAGTTAAGAAAGTAGAATTTCTAACCTCTCTTAATTATCAAATCAAAATTGTTAAACAATTGATGATTCTTTGATTTTGTCGTTGCCTTTTCTTAACCAAAAGAAGGTGTATGTCAAATTTGATTTAAATCCAATAATAATTACCAAAGATATGATGATTTTTGTTTTAAAATTTAATTAATTTAATAAGTTTAAAATTTTCAGTTTTTGGTCATTATCTTCAAAAATATTTGTTATACAAAAAGATTTTAAAGGAAAAAAGATGCGCCATACAATTTCCTGAAGGAATGTATGATTCAAAAATTAAAATCTTGAATTTCAATTTTTAGACCATTTTGTTATGTTTGACTGTCTTGTGAGCATACAGTCGAGCGGATTATTCGATGCAGACGCTCAATTCGTTATTATACAATAATTTATAAATAATTTTATAAATGTTATATTAATATTATTAACATAGATTAAATTTCAAAAAGTTTCAAATTGAAGTTGTAGAAAAGTTGAATTTTAATTAAAAAATATGAATAACGAAGTTTTTGAAACTAAACTTTTTTAAAGTTACTATATACTTCTGGTTCGAAGCACAAGCATCAAAAAATTATTTTTTAAACTATATTGCAGGGCTCGAACTAGGTCCGTAAATCCCGTAAAAGTCCGTAACTTTGCTTGAAGTCCGTAAAAGTCTGTTTTTTGGAAAAAAAGTCCGTAAAGTCCGTAATTTGATTGAAAAATGCCCGTAAAGTCCGTAAATTGTACGATATAATTTGGATAATTTTAGAGAAATTATAAATGATTGTAGAAATTCAATTATTTTCAAAAATTTTCCTCAATTCAATGATTTTTAATAGGTATCTACTATTCTAATAAAATTTTTCAAAAGAATTTAATTCTTTAAAAAAAAATTTAATAAAATTCTACACAAACCTTTAATTATTTTCAGAAAATAATAAAAATTTCACAGAAATTCAATTATTTACAAATTTTATATAAATTTCTTAGCCATAATTCAATTATTTTCATAAATAATAAAATTTATGGCAGAATTTCAATTATTTTTAATATAATTTTATTCATAAAAATTTTATTAACATTCATCAACAGAATTCAATTATTAAAAAATTTGTTGATATAATTCTTTATATTTATATATATTATATATAAATATTATATTATATATTAATATAATAATTAATATAAATAATATAAATAATTAATATAATAATATATATATTATATTATATTTTCCAATATTTATATTTAATTGAAGAATTTACGAATAATTGAAATTTCGTGAAATTGAATATTGTAAAGAAATGAATTTGAAAATCGTCAAAGAACTTTTTCGAAAATTATTAAAATAATCGATTTTAAGAAGAATTTTAATTAAAAATTCTTGAAAATGTTCTCTTATTTGACTCGGACTAGTTATATTTTTGTCAGTAATTGGTCCGTAAATGGTCCGTAATTTTTAATTTTTGGTCCGTAAAGTCCGTATTTTTAAATACTTTTACTGGTTCGAGCCCTGATATTGCCATCTTATATTCAAAATGTTTATTTGGAATGTATAAAATTGCATTTAACATTTAGCAATATTTAGAAATGGTATATAAATAATTTATTTAAAAATTTTTTTAAAAACTGTTTAGGGTGGTAAAAAATATTTGTTTTACTATTTGCATCAGGCATCACAATTGGTCCCCTTTTGCCCTTTTTTCAATTTTGACATTTTTAAAACAAGTAAGAATATTTTTAAAAACATTTTCTGAAGAAAATAAACCTTATTACATTAAAATCGAATCTTTTAAAAAACAACTCTATGGAATCGATGTGATAAAAATTTGAATCACATGCGAAATTGTATAAACAAATTTTTTAAAGGTATTAAATATTTTCTCTTGAAAATTAATACTTGTGGTTTCAGAAAATTATATTATTAGTAATAAAATTTGAAGGTTTCAAATGTTACTTAATATGAATGCTTATAAAATATTAATATTTTTCTTTTTTTTTTATTAAAGATAATTTGGAAGAATTAATTTCGACAGATGGGAAAATAAAAAAGGCTATAACGAACTTTTTTGCTGAATATTATAAAAAAGAACAAGAGAAACGTGAAGAGTTTCTTTCTGCTTTAAATCTGAAAAATAGTGGATCTCAATCTCTTATAGAATTTGCAGATGAAAATGGATTTTTGCAATCGATGGTCTCTGATAATTTAGAAGTTCTTCCCAAAAATATAAGTAGAGAGAGAGCTCATTCTTCTCTTTACATGTCAAATACACTTCCACAATCTGAGAAAGAGAATATATCGCACAATTTAGAATTTAAGAACATAGTAGATCCTGTTCTTCCTTTACCAAATTCATCAGTCGAAGATCTTTCTTTTGAACCTAACCCCAAGAGAAAACGAATTTCTTCTCAGGAGACTGAAGAATCTGCTGAGATTATTGCAGATGATACTAGAGTCTATCGTGAAAATGTGTGTACACTCTTGGTTAATTTAGGATTAAAAATTATTGATTATTAATAATTTAATTTATATTATAATTTATATTATTAATAATGATAATAACAATAATTAATTATTAACTCTTTTACTTTGCAGGAGATTACTGAGACTTTGGAAAAAAGCATTAAAGGACGTGCAGTTATAGAATACTATAAACTGTATGATTTCGATAATCCAATTATAATTCTTTTAGCTGAAGTCATTGTTGAGGATGAATATAAATCGAACACAAATACAGTGTAATTATCGTATTTATATAATACTCTAACTAAGTACTTTAAATCATATTAACTTTTGTAACTTTTTTGTTTTTTAGAATTTCATGCGTCCGATTTTCAGAGCTTGCTAAGCTTATTGCAGATGCTTTTCCTGGTGAAATTTCTGTATGTATTAATTTTGTATTATTAACGTAAAAATGTATAAACACTATAAAGAAATTAAATATTTATATGTTTCAATATTTTGCAGCAAACGTATTATATTAGCTCTAGTAGCAGAGGCAAAGGAAAATCTGCATCGGGAAAACTATATGATCAATATGCGAATTTCAACAGAATTTTACGTAAAGTTAAATTAAGAGAAATTCGACCAGGAAAACGAGACACAGTGTTCGAGCTTTCTAACGCCCAAGGAGATTATCCCATTATTCCTGAGGACACAATAAGTGAAACTGAAATTCAAAAAGATTTGCTATTCTTAAAGACTTATACTCAGCCTTGGGGAATTGTCAAAGAAAAATGGTCAAATACATGTGCGTACCGCATGAATGACTTGCGCAATTGTTCTAATGAGGATCTACACAAAAAGTGCTCTGAATATTTGTCTTTATATCCTGCAATAAGTCAAGTCCACGGTCACTTGTTGGTATGGAAATATTTATTTATAATTAAATTTGTTAGAATTACATGAATTTGGAAAATTTTTATGTTTGATTTTTACTTATATATTTTTCAGTTGGAGAGTGATTTCGATGCTTTGTATAAAAATGCCTCCAACAGAGTTCTTGAAAGATGGTCAGACTTTTCAAAAAAGTTAAAAAGCGAATTATCCAACCAAAAGTCAAATTTGGAGGTAAACTAAAACAATTTTAATTTTAAGATTTCTATTTATGAAATGAAGCAATTAAATTATTGAAACACATATTTAATAATTTTAAATATTTTTAGCATCGGACATTGAACTGCTCGCCGCATTTACGAAATTATTCCTAATCATTTCTGTCAGAGTGAAGAATCAAAAACCATGGCGAGCTTCTCGAGCTGAAATACAGGAAGGATTCTTTGTTCATATAAAGGTAAAGTTTTCTAATCTACTTTTAAAATTAATCATTTGCAAAATATTTTATGTTTCTCACTGTCATATGCTGTAGATGATTGATGACTTTGAAAAGGTGGTTCAAGGAATGAGAAACACTGCACTACAACGAGGAACAACGCTTCAGCCATTTCCACTATTGTTGGACCAACTTTAAGTAAAATTAATTCCAGCTATTTAGTAATCGACGGTACACCAATCCTTGTTGAATCACCTTTGCGGGCTTTGGAAATTACATTTAAAACTTATCACGCATTATATTGCAATTATCCAGTCGAAAGTGAACGTTTGTGGGTAGTTTTAGAAAAAACTTTATTTCAAATAGAAGAAGATTGGATAACCGACGCATTAAATAATTCAGAGATTCTACGATTAATAAATGTATTAAAGGTATAAAAATATTAAAAATAGTAGTGAGAAATGCCTCTTTGTCCAGAGTGTGAAGCTGCATTTGCTTCTATGGCAGCTATGTGGATTCATCTGTCGCTTATACATAATGCCGAAAAATCGTCATCATTTAGATGCAAAGAAAAGAAGTGTTTTAAATTGTTTTCCAATTGGTCAACATTCAAAAAGCATAACTTAAAATTCCATTTCAATAAATCACTGTTACAAAATCAGATTCGACAAATTGATACCACTGTTGTTGATGCTACAAATGAAAGTGTTGCATCTTCATCAAATATTACTATAGAATTTGTAGCATCAATGGAGGTGGATAATTTTACTAAGTTAAACACACAAATTCAACAATTATGTATTGAATTTTTTGTTAAATTGTATGCTAATAAGAAATTGCCGCGCAGTCATGTTCAAGAAATATTGGAGGATACAAAGGACCTTGTTAATAAATTAAGCTCATCAATGAGACAAAGTATTCGAGATGAATTAAAAGATTGTATAGAAAAAACCGATCAAGAAGAGAAATTTAAAAAATTTGATTCAATTCTAAACACTTTTTATAATGCATATTCTTCATTTTCAACTGAATACCTTCGTTTTAAAGTTTTAAAGGAAAGTGGCTACTTGATTCCTGTTGAGAGTTGTGTGATTGGTGATAGGGTTGATGACGTTTTTAAAAATGGTGTAATTGTAAAAAAGAAGATTGCAGTTCACTCCAATTTCATACCTATGAGAGACGTTCTGCAAAAAGTGTTTTCTTTGCCAGGCGTTTACATGAAAGTAAAAAATTATATGTTTGAACTAGAAAGGGAAAATGATTTTATTTAAAATTTTGTACAAGGTTTATTGTGGAAAAAAGCTTCAAAATTTTAAAGATAAAACTGTTTTTTCGATTTTTATATATTTTGACGATTTTGAAGTTTGTAATCCATTAGGAACTCATGCCGGAGTACATAAAATTGGAGGTGTGTACTTTAGTGTCCCATGGTTACCTCCGGAAGTAAGTTCACTATTAGAAAACATTTTTCTTTGCGCTCTTTTCACTCTTCTGATCGAGTTGATTTTACAAATCGTAGAGTTTTTCAAAGAATTATTGATTACTCCTTTCCTGGGTAAAAGTAAATGGAATAACTTACAAACATAGAATTTGTATCACTATAAAATTTGAAGGAGAAGACGAGCTTCTCCCACAATTTGGTTTCATTGAAAATGTTCTTCAGAATGAACATGGAGATATTTGTTTAGTTTATAAACGTTGTATAACATATGGCTTTAACAATTTATACCACGCTTATGAACTAGCTTGGACTTCCAAATTTGAATGTATTCTTTTAAAAGATTTAGTTACTCCATTTCCTGTTATCCTTCATCAAATTGGTGATGGTTCTTTATATGCAATTGTTAAGCACAAAATTTAAATAATTTATACCGTATATATACGTAATTATAACTGAATTAATTAATAATTATATTGTATATTATATTTTATTACATTAATTGTATTGTATTTAATTTAATACTATTAAATAAATTATTATGAAAAATAATTAATTTAACAACGTTTATTATTATTTATTAAACCCCAACTTTTTTAACTAGTTGTCTCAATTACTTCTACTTGCTATCACAGCAATATTGTATAGCTATCTTAAACATAAAAACTAATTCTAATAACAACACTATGTAGTTGCTCTAACAGCAAAGAAAAATTCTGACAACAGCATTCTGTAGTTGCTTCAAAAATATCAATTGATTCTGCCAACAACATTCTGTAGTAGCCTCAACCATACAGACAGATTCTGACAAAAACATTTTGTAGTTGTCTCAACCACACGCATTGATTCTTACAACAAACCAGTGTGGTTGTCCCAACCACACAAGTAGATTCCGACAACTACATTGGTGCACAACATTCAATGTTGTTGGGACAAACACAAATATAGTTGTCCCGTATTTTACTATTTATTGTGGTTCTAGCAACCATATTTATGGATACCACAAACAAAGAATTTTTTCCGTGTAAATAATTAGCAAAATTGCTTTTATTAAAACAAGTTTTAAAAAAAATTTTTTCTAATTTTTTTTTCATTCATTTAGAAAATCTTATTTATTTAAATTAATTACTAAATTATTATTGTTTATAATTATTTAAATTTATATTTTATGTAACACTGTTGAGAATTATACACTAAACACTTAGAACTAAGACGGAAAAATATCGCACGCACGGGGGATCGAACCCTAGACCTCGAGGACGCAAGTCGAATACACTAACCGCACAGCCACGCAAGCTTGGAAGTGATTTTACTTAAACTTCCTTTTGAATTATGGAAAGGATATAATTATACAGTGCTATAATAATGAATTTACTGTATATTATGTTTATATTTAAAGAAAAATTATTATAAATATATGTTTTATATATTTATATACATTTTAAGAAGACGTTATATATTAATTAATAGGTATAGCATAAAAATATGATAAAAATTATTAATATAATTATTTATTCATTATTATTTATTATTTATAATTTAATTATTTATAAAATAATAATAAAAATATATATTTATACATTTTTAAAAAATAAAAAAATTTTATTATTAATAATATATAATAGTAAAAATAATTAATAAATATTAATTTATTATTATTATGATATACCTATTAATTAATAATTAATAATATATTAATTAAGTGTTTGATGTTATTGTTGATGAATAATGTTTTTAAAAATCTTGGAAAATAGATTAGATTTAGATTTATTTATTCTTCATTGTACACTTTTTACAATTTCTATTCCCTGCATAACATTGTACATTATACTGTTGTACTAACATACAACACAATTTACATAGAATTACAATGTGTCGGTATATGTTTGTAAAAAATATTGATTATAGAATATGTAAGAAATAAAAGCTAATAACAAGCCAACACTTTATCACTAAGATACATACAAAAGTAAAATTAAAATAAAATTGAATTTGAAATTAACAACACTGATATCATAAAGTTAGCTTAAAGCTGTACACTGTTCTCAAGCAAAAATGAGATAAAATTTAAAATTAACAACACTGATATCATAAAGTTAACGTAAGCTGTAAACTGTTTTCTAAAGGTAACACTATTTAATATCTGTAGCCTCTTTTGCTTTCCTTTCGAATTCTTTGGTGTACTTGCAGAGTATCGGGATCGGTTCCGCTTTAAGGCAAGTAATAAGCAATTCCTGCAGATTAATACCCTATAGATCTCCTAGCCACTCTTCGAAATCTCTTACCAGATCCTGATTTGCGATTTCTTTCAGAACTTGACATTAACAGATATGGGCTACGTCCTCTTCCGCTTTTTTACATAACCTGCAGGATGTATCTTGATAGCCTTTGTTTCCCGACCGTCCTACGTTTTCACAACGTAATCTTGCCCATTGTTCCTTCATGTTCCTTTCAACATTTTTGTTTTCTAGATAATTTTCTCTTCCGAGTAAAGTCTTCCACTCTCTGTAACCTTTGCAGTAGGTCGAATTGTCAATTTTAGGCCAGTCTAACTGGATTTCCTGTTCTATTTTCGTTTTCATAAACTCAGCTATATTTTTACCAAGCTCCCTCTCGTGTCCTTCTTCACCCAGACAACGTATAGTTTCACCGTCTCCTACTGTCCTGAACGCTTTCTCGAGAGCCATTCCCCACCTCGATGGATTGTAGTTCTTAATTCCCCTAATTTCTTCGTTAAAGCAAATTTTGGGCCATCTTTCTTCGTCCATTTGTAAAATATTGGCTATGTACCTAACGGCTCTTTTTCAGTCTCTATCTCGAGGCTGTGTCTCCCTGACTCCATCCTCCAAATGTAACCGGGTGTTGTTTGATCTACGCCTAGTGCCATCTTCTCGAATCTCCCCTGAAATTTCTCCACTTCTTCATATCTTTGTAATCCCCAGATATCTACGCCATATAGTCCACCTGCTTTCGCAAGTGTATCCATTAGATACAGTTTGTTCATCAATCCCTGCTCTTCTCATGATCCCCCACGCTGCATTAGTAGCCGTTTTAGCTTTGCCTATTCTTTTTGCTAGATGTTTTTTGTGTGTCCCTCCCGTGGAAAACCAGAGCCCTAAGTATTTGTACAAGCCCACAATCTCAAGTTTGGTACCTCCGATTCTCCAGGATTCTTGTTTTTTTCTTCTGCCTCCCTTTCTGAAAATCATAAGTTTTGATTTATCGACGTTAATCTCCAATTTATTCTTGTTGACGAATTTTTCTAGCATCTTGATCATTTCCTGTAGACCTTCTGCCGTATCTGCTAATAATGCTAGGTCAACTGCGAATTTTTTGTGCGAAAATTTTAGTTTTACCTATTACTGTACCACCTACATTTTTTCTCTCCCATTCATCTTCCATATCTTCAATGAAAACGTTGAAAAGAGTGGGACTTAATGGGCACCCTTGCCTTACACCTCTTGTTGTCTTGAAGTCATCTGTAACTCCTTCCCCCGTTATTACTTCGTTCGTCGTCTTCGAAAAGATTTTTCCTATCATTTTCGTCATTTTCCCTTTCAAGCCCTTCCGCTTCAGTTTCTCCAAAAGAATTTGCCTATCGACCATATCAAATGCTTTCTTGAAGTCTATAAAAGCCACATATAGCTTCCCTTTTCCTTCTTTAGTTTGTTGTTAATTAAAGAATTTAAAACGAAAATATGGTCTCTTGTTGATCTATTCTTTCGGAATCTGGCCTGACTTTCTGTATACAAACTGCGGCTTTCCAACCAGACTCTAATTCTCGCGTCCATGATTCT